AGAGAGGGAGAGAGGGAGAGAGAGAGAGAGAGAGAGAGAGAGAGAGAGAGAGGAGCACCCTTCCTGAGTCTGGTCATGTCATGATCCTCTTCCTCCAATCCACTGGGTCTTGAGCACTCACATGTACCTAAAGTGTTTCAGACTGACAGGGCCATGGATTCCAACTGAAGGTGCCATGTGGGAACTGGCTTCCCTTGAGCAGTGCATCACTTCCGGCCTAGAGGGCAGCCCTGAGCCCCATGGCATCACCTGAAGTCTCTGTGCATGGAGAGACAGATTTCTATTGGGTTGTCAGAAAAGTCATGATGCATTTTTGCACAGAAAAACATGTTATGACTTTTTGATGACCCAATAGTTTATTTTCAAAGAAACTGGACAGCTATAGCAAGCTTGTTTACTGTTTTCTGAATAGAAAGTATAAAAAGGACAATTTGCCATCCTTACTCTTTTGCATCACTTCATCTTTGAACCTGTCCACTTGTCTTTTTGCAACCAGGTTGGCAGATAAAGTGCTTCCAACATGCCCAACATATGAGGGACAATCCCACTATAAAAAGAGCCAGGAGGCCAGCCTGTTTGATGGTTAAGGAGGTCAGACCCCACATGGCTGGCAGTGCAGTGTGAGTCCCAGACTTGGTGGCTTGAGAAACATGCCAGATGCAAGCATGCCCAAAATCCCAAAAGGAGGGAGAAATGGAGAGAGGACTGCAGTGTGACAATTGCAAGGAAAGCCCAGGAGACATGACATTTTAAAATGCTGCCTGAGGGCCAGTAAATGGCGTGGAGGTTAAGGTCGTGGCATCCCACATGGTAGACTGCAAAGATGAGTTCTGGACCTGGTGGCTAGAAAATTATGCCAGGTGGGTGGCCCAAGGTCCTGAGAAGAGAATGGAGAAGGGACTGTGGCATGGCCATACTTCCTGGGGGGTGATTTCTTATGCTGCCCAAGGGCCAGTAAATGGTGTGGAGGTTAAGTTGGCAGCATCCCATATGGTCAACTCCTGGACCTAGTGGCATGAAAGTCATGCCAGGTGGATGGCCCAAAATCCTGAGGGGAGAATGAGAAGGGATTGTGGCATGGCCACAATGAGGGGTGATTTCTCATTCTCTGTCTCTGGCGAACACATGTGCCCTGTAGCAAACTATAAAAAAAATGTTGCTTGAGAGTGCCCTTAGGATTTTTTTTGGAGAATTATTTACCTAATTTTATTATTACTTATAAAATTTGCTATAGGGCACGTGTACTCACTAGAGTGAGACAGAGAGGGAGAAAAGGAATATGAGAAACCAAGCTGCCAGGTCTGGGACTTGAATCTCATTCAATCATGTGGGGAGTCCAGCACCTTAACCACCATGCCACTTGCTGGCCCACTGCCTTAGTTATTTTTTTCTTTTAAAGAATTATTTAATTTTAGTCATCATTATTATTTTTTTAATTTGGCCAAAGAGAGAGAGAGAGAAAGTGAAAGCGAAAAAGCAAGCTGCCTGGTCATGGACTCAAACCATGGTTGGCCATGAGTCCAGTGCGTCAGCCACCATGCCACCTGCTGGCCCTGCTCTTACTGTATATCACGGATCTAAGTAATAACCTGACAGTGGTGGCTTCATTAATGAAAGGGCTGACTCATTTAGAACGATGGTTCTTACAGATATTTCAAATTTTACTGACAGTACAAAAGTACGTAACAAGGGACACGTCAACACAGAAGAACACACAGCTCCCCCTTGAAAACCAGAATAGCTAAGTGAAACGTCAACACAGATGCTTTTTACTCTGAATTTAAGAGTTAATTTTAAAAAAATCAAACATATACAACAGGATTTGAACTAGATGTTTTTCTTCTTTCTAGAGATGTGGCATACATGTTCCTGGTAAGTAACATTCGACCAAATGCTGCACTAAACCAAAGAAGACACATGGCCAATGGAGCTGTTTACTACCTCCTCATGCTGAGCTAGACCAGGGAGCACCATCTTGGTAGGAGGGACTCTGACAGGGAGAAGAGACTGCAGAGTCCCCATCTATCCCAAGAGAAAACATAACAGACTGGATTATATAGAAGGCAAATACGCACACACACGGTTAACATGCTGTAAGAACAGGATTCCTTGTGGTTGATTTCCAGCACACAGCAAACATTCGTTGGTGCCCAATAAAATCAGAACACCCAATGCAGAAAGAAAGCATTTTTGCCTTCACAGCACTAACAACTAAAAAGCACACAGCATATAATACTTTGATCTTTAAGTGGCTGATCATGGATGTTCCAAGATCATATCCACTAGGTTAGCCTGAGTATACATCTATAAAAATATCTTTTCAAAAATAATGCTTACGAGACTTCTAGAAACAGTAAACTATATGTGAGGACCAGCAGCAGACAGAGATACAGGAAGTGCGGATATAAGACTTGGAGTAGATTTTCACATGGAGCCTGTAGGTAAAGGACTTCTCTCAGTTAATTCCTATGGCCAAGACTAGTTGTGATCCTAAGAGACTCAGAAATCTCAAGAAGGGCAGCAGGCTCGAGTGACCCCTTATTACCCCTTTGGGGTAATAAATACTCCCAAACAAAAACCCTATTGAACCCAACGACTGAAACTGACCCATGTGAAAGAGGACTGTGAGGACACAAAAGATTCATGCCAAGTTTGCAGGAACAAAGGGTTCGTGATGGCGAGCTATCCCACAGTGCTGACACACCAGCACGTATGCTAGGATGGGGCATGCTGGGGGGAATGCTCGATGGAGGTTTGCTCCTGAAGCACCTGGGGCAGTCTACTGGAGCAGGGAGAAGTTCTAGGGTTACTGACTACAAGAAGGTGTTTGAGGAGAGGCAAGTCCAAGACGGTCGGGTCATTTTGTTTTTGACCCCACAATACTTAACGTGAGTGAAGAGCTGCAGAACAGGGTCAGTCCTTCCGAGATGCATTCTGTCATTCACAGCTAAGCCTCTGCGTCTACGGGGCCGAGGAGTTCCAGAATGACTGCGTTCCTGCCTGCAGGTGGACTCTAGTGCCGCAGGTTGTTCTGGGAAGCTGGCATAGAAGATGATTTGCACAACGAAGTCACCACTAAACCACTGCTTAAGTCCAGTCCCCGGCCTTCTTTTTCCTACATGAGAAAAGAGGCAACTCTCAAGAGGCGAAGAACAGAAAGAGTCCTTTCTGGCTCAGTACCCGGCCTCTGGCATGGGAAGGAGGAGCTCAGGGCTGGTGCGTGAGCACCAGGGAGTACACAGGAAAGCAAGGGAGGTTATCCTGCACTTCTGCTCAACGTTGGCCTTGGTTGCTCTTCAAAAACGCACCTTTTTTCCTCGGGACGACACTTGTTTTTCTTATGAGAGAGGCAAGGTGTAATTAGACCTGCTTTAGGGCCCCTAAGATAGTACCTGGGGCCTGTTTCACCGAAACATGGGAAAATGTCCCCGCCATAGTAGAACTCACTCTCCTGACACCTCGCAGCGGCTAGACTGACACTGGCCAGTGACGAGGGAAAGCACGGGAGGCAGTTTGTGTTCAGGGATTCTATGTGGAACTTTCTAAGAGGGTCAGTGTGGCTAAATAGGCAAGAATAACTTACTGCTCTGTAGTCCAGAAACATTTCTTTAAAGGCCAGAAAGTCTGTGAACGTGAGCAACATGTCGAATATGTCGCCGGCCACTTCGTCCTTATGGTGCCTATGAAAGGAAAGGGTGGCTGTTTCATGAGTGTTTTTGCTCAGACGTTTTCTGGGCTTCCCACTCGGGATGTAACTACTAAGTGCTCTCATTGGGTAGAGGGGCTGGAGGTGAAGGAGGAGGTGAGAAAACAGGGAAATAACACAGCTGGGTTCAACTCACTGTAATGTCGTCGTGAAAGCTGCCATGTTGAATCCAGGAATCCGCTCCAGCAGCTGCTCTTCAATATACTTTTCTACCAAAGAAATCTGCAGTGGTGGAGAGCATCTTGGTCAGATCACACTTTAGGAAAACAAGACTCAAATTCTGCTTTCTAGCCCCGAGAGCCTGTTCTGTGTACCAGACTCTGTGAGTACAAAGGGTCCAAAGGGGACCAAAGCTTAGCCTCTGTCCCGGCTCTGCACTCGGCCCAGTGAGGGAGAAGGTCTGCAGGTCACTGTGGGTAATTCTGGTGTAATGGGAGGGACGCTCTTACACAGGTGGGGACAGTGAGCCACAGCTCCCCACTTTCCAGCACAGGAAGTGAGGAATGAAATAAACAGGGGCTTTTCTTTGGGTATAGACAATCTGCAAATACAACATACAAAAACATGCTCTTACAAGAAGTCCCAGGTTCCTTCTGAGCAGGTTCCATCACTGATAGCATGTACTCTTTAGAAGTCCCAGAGCCTCAAACCTCTTCTTAGACAAGGTGATCCCAGGAGGAAGCAGGAAGCATCGGGGTGTGATGTAAGGGCCCAAGGGTGAAGAGGAGGTCCCTGGGTTCTAGACTTGGTTTTACACCAGCTAGTGACCTTGGTCTCATTCTTCGCGTCGATGTAACAGTTACGTGTGTCCCTGACTGGATTATGCAGAATGTGTGAAGGCAACGAGGTTTGTCCACTGCACACAGTGCCAGGTGTGGTGCATGCACACACTGCCAACGTGAGCAGGACTACGGGAAAGCCAAGCTTTTGAGCTCATCAAATTATTTGCCTGAAGCCTCCTGGAAAACAGCTTCAAGAGCTGTGATGAGGAAAATGAACTAAACTAGGTTCTAATTAGAATTCCTGGCACTATACTGGCAGCTCCTTCTAAGAGACAAGCAAGTTTCAACACTTTTGATTCTAAACTTAAATTTAGAAAAAAAAACTAATCTGCTGGGAGAGAAACAGAAATCTACTTACATATTCATTAAAAATAGGTGTGTAGGTAAGTTTATTCTCTTCTGTGTCTTCAAACTCTTGGTAGTACTTGTCCATGAAATTTCTCTGTAATAACTGGAACTCATCATCTGAACCAGAATAGGAAACATCTATTTTTAAAGTAGAGACTAAAAACCCTTGCAATTTACAAGCAGGCTGGTCTTCTGAGAGCAGTACTTACTGTTTTCTTGATGGCCTATCCTAGGGGAGGGAAATCTTGTACTTTTTTTGGAGAGGTTTTTGCTATAGAGAGCGTGCACTCGCCAGAAAGACAGAGAGAGACAGAGAGACAGCGAGAAATCACAGCCCCCCCCCTCCCCCCGGAGGATGGCCACACCACAATCACTTCTCCTCCATTCTCCTCTCAGGATCTTGGGTGGGCACGTATGCACATGTACCTGGCATGCACACGCACACACACACACACATGCCCGGTGTGAGTTTAAGCCACCAGGTCTGGGATGAGGACTGTGGTAGACTACATGGGAGTCCAGTGACATAGCCATTACACCAACTGCTGGTCCCTAAATTCTGTGCTTTAAGAGGATGTTAAATGGGATACTGATGTTGAACTAGATCAGTCTTTTAAAAATTTGTGGAGAGATATACATAAAACTTGTCATTTTAACACTTTTTCCCTTTATTCATGACAGTGTGGACATATGTCAGAGTGAGAGAGAGAGGGGGAGAGATGAGCACCCTCTGCAGGGTCTGGTCAGATCATCCCTTTCCTCTAGCCCTCCAGAGCTTGTCGGGTCCCAGGCGCTGGTGTGGGTGTCCAATGTGCCTCTGGCTAACCGGGCTGGGGACTCATGGTTGTCGTGGGGATCTACCTTCTCTTGAGTAGTGTATACTGCTGTATTACTCAGCCAGTCTTTTCAAAACAAAACAAAACATATGATTTAATTTCACTTATTATTATTACTAAGTTTGCTATAGGGCACGTGTGCTCACCAGAGACAGACGGAGAGAGGTGAGCATCCAGGTCCAGGACTTGAACTGTGGTCAGCCATGTGGGAGTCTAGCACCTCAATCACCAATGCTACCTGCTGGCCCCCAGAGCCAGTTCTTTCACAACTTTTTTTTTTTTCTTTCAGTTTTTGCTGTAAGGCACTTGTGCTCACCAAACACACACACACACACACACACACACAGAAAGAGAGAGAGAAAGAGAGAAAGACATCACCCCTTACTGGAGATGGCCACACCACAGTTCCTTCTCTTTCTCCCTCTTGGGATTTTAGGCATACACGCACAAGCACCTGGTGTGAATTGCAAGCCACTAGGTCCAGGACGTGAACTGCTTAGTTGGCCATGTGGGATCCAGTCGCCTAAACCACCATGCCCCTTAAAGCTATTTTTAAGTGCATGGTTTTGTGGGGTTAGGCAGGCTCACACTGCCGTGCAACCATCACCACCATCCTCTAGTCCACTTAAACACATCCACGCGAGGTGGCTTGGGAACTCCCACGTACTACTGATAGTTTTCTTTAAAGGAATAAATGGGTCATCCCTTATTTTTTTATTTATTTTTGGAAAGATTTTTGCTATAGGGCATGTGTGCTCGCTGGAGAGACAGAGAAAGTGAGAAATCTCCCCACACACTCATACCACCACCCAGGGGTATGGCCACACCGCAATCCCTTCTCCTCCATTCTCCTCTCAGGATTTTGGGCATGCATGCATTTGCGCCCTGCCTAAGTTCTAAGCCGCTGGGTCCGGGACCCGAACCACAGTTAACTACATGGGAGTCAGTCCGGTGATATAACCATTATGCCATTTGCTGGTCCCCTTCCCTTATTTCAATAAAATTCCAGTAGCAGTTGGAAACAGCAGTGATTACAAGTATGGGGTCTGACAGGAGCCAGACTGCCCAGGTGCAAATCGCTCCTCAGCTGCTTCCTTGCTGTGAGACCTTGGATCTGTTACTTAATGTCACCTGTTTCTTCATCTAGAAAATGAAGGTGATTTACAGTGTGAATCACAGAGGGCTGCTAGGTGAAATTTGGATGAAAACTCACATAAAGAGATTAGTTCATAGTGAACACTTAATAAGTGTTAAGTAATAGGGAATTTTAACAACCACATAGAATATTATTATTCTAAATATTATTCTATTTCTAAGAATAAAAGGAAAACTTCCAAAAGGACTTAGACTGTGGGAGAAACACCCTGGCTTTTAGGGTACCCCAACAGGCAAAAACACTGAACAAATTCTTCAGTATTTCCCAGAAGTACTCAAATCTACGTGAGACAAGAACTTGATGGTGGGACATCTACATGTAGGGATAAAGACATGAACCTTTATTGGACCTCAAAGTACAAAAACCTGGTCAGTGATTTTTTTTTTTTTTTTTTTTTTTTTAAACTAAAGCAACACCAGATAACGGTGTTCTTTTCCCAATTCTCAGAAAACTTTAAATCAATATTAATTTTTTTAAATGTAAGTTTTCCCTTGTATATATTTGCCTTAAACCTGTGGGGCCTGCCTTGCTTATCTGTTACTCCGTGGGGTTTCTGGAGGCCAAAGTGAATCTAGGAACTCAAAACTCAGGAAAATACAAAACCAGCTGAAGTTTGACACCAGATTCTTTCATGGACACGTATGCTTTTAAAAAACTTTTTTAAATTATTTTTTTAATTTGCTATACGTGTACTCACTGAAGAGACAAAGAGCTAGAGGGAAAACTTGGTCTCTCAGTGGGAATGGGCACAGTACAATCATCTCTTCTTCAGAGAATTGCATGTAATATGCACCTGGGTGTTTTCCAAACCACCGGGTCTGAGACTTGAACCACACTGCTGGCCATGTGGGACCCAGCTACCTTAATCACCATGCCACTGGCTGGCCCTGCTTAAAGTTTTATGCTTTATTTTATGGCATGAGAGTGTTAGAACTATTTACAAAGCTGCCCTATGAATAAGTCACTATTTCCTGAAGCTTTGCAGAGAGCTACGTACTTCTAGGTGTCCTATTACTTGAGGTAAGTCCCTTCTAAGCCTCTAAATTCATGGTTATTTAGTTGTTTTAAGGGATACTGAGCTATTTTCTTGTTCTGTTTTGTTTTTGTTTTGAGAGATTTTTGCTATAGGGCATGTGTGTTTACCAGATATACAGAAAACGAGAAATCACCTTCCAGGGAGGATGGCCATGTGGCATTCCCTTCTTTCTCATTCACCTCTCGGGATTTTGGGCATGCAAACACATGTTCTCTGTGTGTTTCAAGCCACTGGGTCCAAGACTCTAACCATTGTCGACCAGTGCCTTAACCACTATGCCACCTGCTGACTCCATGAGTTGTTTTTTTTTTTTGGAGAGGTTTTTGCAATAGGGCGCGTGCGCTCGCCAGACAGAGAGAGACAGAGAGACAGAAAGTAAGAAATCACCCCCCAGCGGGGATGGCCATGCCGCAATCCCTTCTCCTCCATTCACCTCGGGTGGGATCTTGGGCACGTACGCACACGCGCGTGGCGTGAGTTTTAAGCCACCGGGTCCAGGACTCGAACTGTGGTCGACTACATGCAGCTTGATTTTTTTTTTTCTCATTTAAAATTAACTCTCCTTGGCTTTAATGTTTTTAAGAGTAAGGAAAAGTATGACCCGCAGATGAAGGGATTGCGGCATGGCCATCCCCCAGGGGTGATTTCTTGCTTTCTGTCTCTGTCTCTTCAGTGATCCCAGAAATCTCTCTTAAAAAAAAAGGAGTAAGGATAAGTGAGCAAATGCTTAAACAAAATGTCCTTAAGCTTACCCATGATAATGTCCTCTAAATATCCAACCACGGCATCAAATTCTGCATCTGAGGCGGAGGAGCTGAAAAATACACCTGGATTAGGTACTGTTTCAGATACTTTTTTTTCTAAAAGATTTTATTATGGACATTTTCCAACATACACAAGGAAGAAAAAGAACAGTAAAATCAACTTTCCGCTACCCAGCTTCAACAATAAAGGATGAATGACTGCTGTCTAATCTAGCTATTCCAAACAGAAGAAAACACACTTGGTAGGGTGCGACATGAAGGTTGAATGCGAAGGCTCCACTTTGACAAAACCTGGTTGGACACGGGAATTTAAAAAGGCTAGCATGGGACATCACCGGGATCCTCCGCATTTGTTTCCTGTGGGATCTACTCACCACATCTTCGCTACCGCGCTCACCTTTCTGCACCGGAGCATGAACTCGGTGCTGGCGCGAAAACCGGCCGGGAGGGTAATCTGACCAGGAGTCCCTGGGGGCGGAGTGGTGGTGTGGAGGGTCCTCTGACCCGTGCTCAGGTCTGGGCAGCTCACACCCGTCAGGTTTTCCCAACGCTAAGACTGGAGGCTGGGGATTGTGATGGAGGCGTCGCTAAAGGGTGACAGCAGCCCCTGATCCAGTCCTGCCGGGCCTGAACACGGTGGCCGCAGCAGTCGCAGAATGGCGACCCAGAACCCGGGCGCCCCCCACCTCTTTAAGATACTGTTTAGAGGCCCGGCAGCGTCACTCACAAGGACAGTGCGAAGCTCTCTTCCTCTACGGCGTCCATCGTCGCCGCCAGGACCAGCGCGGAGCAGCGGGCCGGTGCGCCTCCTACCCCGCCAGCGGCCCGGGCCCAGCCTCCGTTCTGTTGCACAAAGTCCCCACCCACATAGAGTGCAAGGCGACCCGCAGGCCGGGAGGAGGCCTCGCCGTCCAGGCCGGTCAACGCTCACGCGCGAGGCCCGGCCTGAAGCTCGGCGGCTCCGGCCCGCGCAGGCGGGACTCCAACGCCCGACCAGGCCGCTCTGCGCTGGCCACCGTGCCACAGTCGGGGCCTGGACTTCGGTGACCCGCAGCCAACGCCGGGCCCCGCCTCCCGTCTCTATGGCAACCGCCACCTCTTCCACCGCCACGCGGGCTCCCGGCAGCCAATCACAGGCGCGCGTCTTCTGACGCAGGGGCGGGGCAAAATAGGGAGGGGAAGTCTGGGAACGCGAGAGCCAGCGAGCGAGGCGCGGAGCGGGCCTGGGTAAGCAATGCGTTGGGCGCGCTGAAGTGTTCCCGGGCTGTGTAGCGATTAAATCTCACGTCGCCTCCATTTTCTGGGGGGATGGAATCGAAACCGAGAACCTCGATTTCCTCACCTGCAGCTTTCCCCTAAGTGTTTCTGAAAAGTTGGTAGTTTCGAGCGCGTTTTCAGAGTCTCGTGGTGCCAGGTCGCAGGATCTCAGCTCTTGAAACAGATAATACAGATACCTGATTCGCAAGACGGTTGCTCCCTCTTGTGGAAGGAAACCCCCCATCGCAAGACGTGGAAATCGTAATTCACACTATACTCTTCACATTATAAAAATCATTCGGCAATACGTAGTTACTTGGCTAATTAGGTGAGGTAAAATTTGACATTACCGCTTTTAACAGAAATCAGATAACTATGCTCCAGGAAAAAAAGTCTCCGAAACTGCCAAATTTTGGAAAAGGATTCCCTAAAGGTGTTTTCTCTTGATTGGACCACTAAGCATAATGTCTGTGGTTGCTTGATACCTTTTGGGCAAATGTGTAGTATATAACCAGAAGGATTTAAGATATAAACTGAGGGTCAGATGGCCAACCTGAATGGATTAGCTGACATCCTTGAATGGACCCAAAACTGACATCAGTGGGATCTTGAACTGAAGATGGTTACAAAGACAGAGTTGTACCCAGGTGAGATAATTCCAAGTTACTCTTTTTAGCACCAGCTGGAACTCAGGCATGGAGAAAGGTTTGCAGAATTACCAGCTAGACCAAGTATGAACTAGTTGAGCACTGGTTGAGCTCACGGCAAACTCAGCGAATTTTCTCCTGACCTGCTTTTTCTATATACTCATATTTGTGGACTAAGTAAACGTGCCCACCCTTCCTAAATCATTGGGGCCAGGGTGGAGGAGGAATAAAACAATTTCATCTGTTCTAGTTATCTATTGCTATTACAAGCACTTGAAAACTTATTGGGCTAAAACAATTAGTCTTTTTTTGCCTATAGTAGAAATCTCTATAGGATGTGGGCGCTTGCCCAAGATACAGAGACAGAAAGCAAAAAATCACCCCAAGGGGGGGATGGCCATGTTGCAATCTCTTCCCCTCCATTCTCCTCTCAGGATCTTCGGCATGCACGCACATGCAACCGGGTAAGTTTTAAGGACTTGAACCATGAACTTGAACCGTGGTTGACCTCGTGGGAGTCCAGCGATGTAACCATTACGCCGGCTGCTCGTACCAGTCGTCTTCATTTTTTTTTTTTTTTTAAGAATTATTTAATTTTATTTATTGTTTAATTTGGCCAGAGAAAGCAAGCAAGCCGCCAGGTCTGGGACTCAAACCGTGGTCAGCCATGGGGTAGTCCAACACCTTAACCACCATGCCACCTGCAAGCTCATGTATTTTTATTTTATTCTTTATTTAATTATTTTTTTACAATCCATTGCTTTAATTTTTTTGGAGCATTGTCCTTTATGGAGAGGTTTTTGCTATAGGGCACATGCGCTCGCCAGAGAGCCAGAGAGCCAGAGACAGAAAGCGAGTAAATCACCCCCCAGGGGGAAGGCCACGCCGCAATCCCTTCTCCGTTCTCCTCTCGGGATCTTAGGTATGCACGCATACGTGTCTGGCATGAGTTTAAGCCACTGGGTCCCGGACTTAAACTGCGGTTGACTAAATGGGAGACCAGCAACATAGCCATTACGCCAATTGCTGGTCCCTTTTTAACATTTTTTATAAAGGTTTTTGTTATAGGGCATTTGAGCTTGCTAGAGACAGCAGAGACCAGAGAACTGGAGAGGAAAAGTGAGAAATCACTCCCGAGGGAGATGGCCATGATGCAGTCCCTTCTTCATTCTCTAGGGATTTTGGGCACGCCCCAGTTAATCTGTTTATTAATCTGCAATTTGGGTAGGGCTTGGCAAGAACGGTTAAGTCTCTGTTCCACTTGGCATCAGTCAGTTGGGGCAGCTGGAATGAAACTAGAGGAGCTCTTCCAGACAGCTGACTTGTGGTTGGCAAACTAAGGTTAGCTCTTGGCCAGGAACTCAGCTGTGGCTGTCGGTCACAGGACTGGGGGGTCTCACCTTCTTTCCACGGAGGTCTTTCTGGGAATACTTCAGTTTTCTCATACCATGATAGCTGAGTCCAAGAGCAAGTATTTCAAGAGATGAGACGTGGAAGCTGGCACTCACTTAAAGACCTGGTACTGGAGAATGGCGTATCAATTCCGTGTATTCTTTTAGTTTGCTATAGGGCAGGGATTCTCCAACCTGCGGGACTGCAGACTGGTGCCAGTCCTTGGGCTGTTGGGGGCCAGGCTGTGGACCAGTTCCAGTCTGTGGTTCTTGCCCCACACCCAGATGATGCAGCAGGGGCTGGGTGGCAGGTCAGTGTTAAATCTGGTTGCTCCCCATTAACATTGCCAGCTGGGCTTTGCCTCCTGTATTGGCCTCTCATGGGAGCAGACTCTTGTGTGATTGTTACACTGTATGTTGTGATGTGGTCCTGGTGGAAAGTGCAGAGTAGATACGGTGTGCTTGGGTCATCCCGGGACCACCGCCACCCAGCCCCATCCATGGAGGGATTGCCTTCACTAGACTAGTCCCTGGTGCTGGGAAGGTTGGGGACCACCGCTATGGGGCGTGTGTAGTTATGGAGAGAGACAGAGAGAGGGAAAGTGAGAAAGCATCTCCAGAGGGGATGGCCGTACCCAATCCCTTCTTCATTCTCAGTCTTGGGCACACACATAATATGCATCAGCATGTTTTTTTTTTTTAATATATTTTATTCAACTTTATTTACTTATCTATTTTAATTTGACCACAGAGGGACAGAGTATGAGAGAGAGAGAGAAAGAAAAAGTGAGAGAGCAAGCCACCAGGTCTGGCACTCGAACCGAGTTTGGCCATGTGGGAGTCCAGTACCCTTAACCACCATGCCACCTGCTGGCCCCCAGCATGGTTTTTCCAAGCTGTTGGGTTAGAGCCTCAAACTGCCTAGCCAACCATGTGGGATCCAGCAGCCTCAACCACCACACCACTGGTTGGCCTGGACTTCCATGTATTCTACTGGTTAGGCAGTTCCCCAAGTTTAAGAGAGGAGACATAAACTTCAGTTCTTGATGGGAGGAATGCCAAAGAATTTGTGACCATCTTTTAATTCATTTTACCATCTCTGGATCTAGGAACAAATGGGGATAAAGATAATACTTAATCCACATGTGTTGAATATTGTGCTAAGTATTTAGAAATAATATTCCCTTTTGAAGTATTTGAAACCCTATGAGAAAAAAAACAAAAACTACTAAAAGGTGAGTAGTACAATATTACTACCATTTTATGGCTTGGGAAACCAAGGCTTAGTGAGGCCTACCTCCAGTTCTACTCTAACGGGCCTGTTTTCACTATCATGCTATTAGCCTCAATCTCTGGTTGTTAAATCATACTCTTGGAAATCAGAACCTGATTTTTTTCCCCAGAATCTCCAGAATTAGGCCCTTTTCCCACTTGAACAAAAACTTCATTAATAATAGTTTTTAAAATTCTTTGTGGGTTGACATTAGGTTTTTTCTAAGCAAATAAATAGTACAAGGTGAACGATGGACAGTCTTGGAAAGAGCTGATCTTAGTTGGACAGTTATCATGGACACTTTTAACATGGTTGAAATTCATACAAAAGTCATTTTCTGTCTGTGAAACTGTTTCAGTTTCTGTGACTGAATCACTGTTTTCTGGCACTTTTGCACAGAACATTTTGCACTTTCTCTTGCTCCACATCATTCAAAAAAGGTGGCAATTCATTAAAAAAATCCTTTTTTGGCGGGAACCCTGGATTTCCCCAATGAATCATTGGGGAAATTTCATCAATTAATTTTTCATGGTTTTCCTCTTGGTAATATATTAGCAGTAAAAGTCTAGCTTTAAATTTGTCTTAAAATGCTTCTGTTCACTGCACAATATGGATTTTCTTCCACACAGTTTGATAATCCCTAATTTTTTCTTTTTTTTTTTTTTAAAGTTTTTTTGCCATAGGGCTCATGTACTATTGTGTGTGTGTGTGTGTGTGTGTGTGTGTGAGAGAGAGAGAGAGAGAGAGAGAGAGAGAAAGTGAGAAATCACACCCCAGGGGGATGGCTATGCCATAGTCCCTTCTCCATTCTCCTCCTGGGATTTTGGGCATGTGCACATACACGTTCAGCATGATTTTTATGCCACCAGATCTGGGACTTGAACCTCAGTCGGCCATGTGGGAGTCTAGCACCTTAACCATTATACCACCTGTAGGTCTGTTTCTCTTCTATGTGGTGTACATAGCTCCAGGATTCCAACTTTGCCACCATTCTGGAGATGTAATCAATTTCATATTGAAGTCCATTTATTTTGTGAACTAGAAGTTAAGAGCTGGAAATGTAGACCATCTTAGGAACAAAGTTCAAGCGTAGATTTCTAGAAAGCGATTAGGCTCCTGCATTCCTTTGACTACTGACAGATTATTCCATCTATTTTTCTCAATTAACACTGAATTTATAAACCACCTCTTCCTTCACCTTGTAGCTGGAGTATTTCAGAAAGTCCTTACTGGTCTTAACTGTTTCCATTTTTGGCTTAGCCTCTATCCTTAACCTCTGTTCCATTTTCCAAACAGAAGCCAGAGCCATCTTTTAAAATAATTTATCAAGGAACTCCATGCAGCTTAAGCATGCAAAGTTAACCTTTGCTTTCGACTGCATTTAGGATTAAATGTAAAATAATGTGGCCTTTGTGAGCAGTTCCCGGCCTCTAACAGTGGAACATACGTGCCACCTGTCTCACTAGCTGCAAGCCTCTTCCATCGGATCCTGAGGACTCCTGA